GCCATTCATGGATCACTTTTGGTGTGGCACCACTTACTTAGTGTAATGTAGCATTAAAAGTTATACATGCAATAGGCCAACATTAACTTAAATGGATGTTTAATATAATGACAGTACTATTATTTAGTAAATAAAGTCTCGCATTTTATGCTTATTTGCAGTAAAAAAAAAAAAAAAAAAAGAATAAAAAAGTTTTCAGTCTTCCTATTATCTTTTTGGCTTTCCGCTTTTTTTTTCTTAAGCATGCTTCCTTTTTCCTGGTTTTTTTGGAGAATTTTGCCTACTCTGAATTTTTGATTATATTGGACTTCCTGAAAGATGATTGGTCAAGGTCATAGATTGATTAATCATGTCAGTCACAGAAAAAGTAAACAAGATACATATTCCTTATATGTTTTCAGTTACACAACACCAAACTAATAATGTTATTGGTTTCTGAAAAAGTTGAATAGTTTTTAGTGAAAGAAGTAACATGTGAGTATTAAGTGAAATTGAAATTGTGAGTAAAAGAGAAGTAATCCTTTTTTGTTTTATTTTTTTATTTTATTTTTTTTATTTTCTATTCTTTCTTGAGAGCAAAAAGTAGCAACAAGGTCTAGGTCCTATCCCAATCTGGTAACAAGTTAAAATACTGATATTTATCCCAAAAATGGTTAAAAAAAGGAATCTTAAACTATTCACTGGTTGAATGAAGTAATAATTCCAGAAAATATGACTTGGAAGAGAAATTAACAATAGAAAATCAATATTTTTTCTAGTTAGAAGTCTTCAAGCATAAAGTCTCAAAAAATACTTACCTGAAAGTGCCCTTAAACATTTTTGGACATCAACTACTCCAATGGAAATTAAACAGTTTGACTGGCCACAAATGGTGAGAAGTGAGAAATCATAAGGGGCTTGGGTTTTAAAATTCACAGAGATAATATCTTCAATAATAGTTAGAATAGATGATAGCTTTTTTTTTTTTTTTCCTTTAAAAAATTTCTTTTTTTATTTCTTTTTTCTCTTGTATAATTATTACAAGAGGAGGGTAATACAATTTAAGTTTATGGTTATGACTATAGAGGTGATCTGCAGGTTTTAATCCTATTAGAAGTTTGGGATCTTAATTCTATCCTTTAGGAGAACAACATATCACTCCCATAAATCACATCTAGAGGCTTCAGCTGTCGACAAGTAAGTTGGATCGAGGAAATTTATACTTTGTAGGTATTCTTAACTTGTAATGGTTCTTTATAATTTAATAAAAAAAAATAAATAAATAAAAATAAATATTTAAGATAATAATAATAAATATATTGTTTAAATTAATCTCAAATAAATTTTATACTTGTTTACAATAAAAAAAAAACAAAAATAATTTAATATAGAATTTATAAAAGATAAATACTGTTTCAATAACTTAAGATTTAATTTCAAATATTATTATATAAATGAAATATAGTTTATCATAATAATTTACAATATCTACAAGTTTATGCAAATTTAAGAAATTGAGATTGTACAATAATTTTATCAAATTTATTTAATTTTTAAAAACAAGATATGTTTCATAATGTAATGTAGCATAAGCCAAATAAAAACAACTACTTTTTTACATTTATTTTGTTGTAAAATGACTAGTGTTTGTTAGATGACATACAGCAAGTCGGAATACTTTGCTTAACAATATTTTAAGAGTGGACAGATTATTGTTATTCAATGATTTTGCGTGATTAATATATTTTCATCATACTTGAAAATTTATTAAATAAAAAAAAAGGAAGAAATTCTAGTTCTAATCAGGCATTTGAAGCGTGTCCGAAGAAAAAAATCCAAGCATCGTGTTCGTTTAGCATTGATCAAATTGATGTATTTCATAAGATAAATAGTAAAATAATAATAATAATACATTAAATATCGTGTAATGTTGTGTTCAAAGATTTTACGTATTTAATTTGATTTCATATATCCAATATTTAATATAACCCAATTGTAGAAACATGAATATAGAAAAGATGTATATGAAACTCAAAAAATCAAAAAAAAAAAAAAAGTAAAAAATAGGGGATGATCTAATATAAAAATTACAATAGTATTACAAAGTTTAACCAAAAAAAAAGTTTTTTTTTTTAACATAGTATTAAATATATAAAGGAAAAAAACAGTCCATAAAACATCTAACAAAATCAAAGAAAAGTAAATTTATGACTTTGGCATTAAAAAGTTAAAAAAATTAAAAGCAGATGATTACAAGCAAATTTATTCGATATAATAAAATTCAACATCAAACGCATCGTATTAATCATTATAATTATGGGATCATGCCACCGCTAGTACCAATAGTTAAATAACCCCCTTTGCCTTTTAGATCCAACTTATCAAAAAGAGTATGGTATATAAACTTGTACGCCCAAAGGTTGCCCTTCATTCTCTTAATATCCACGATATATATCCCCGGAAGATTCTTTAATCGACACAGTTCCACGGCGAATCTAATCTCTTCTCCCGAGTCTATGGATGGATCACCGTACAAGATTTCTGGAGCGAGAGCAGATGTTTGTAAAACATTTTCAGGTGATGAATTGTCAGGTCCGGTCAGAGTCATGAGTGGACCCATGGTTGGACTGTTAGGCACGGAAAGTGAATCGCCATTAATACTACTATTGTTATTATCCACAGCGCTCATTTCGGTGTCGGAGGATTTGGAGTTGGTTTGGGACGATGTTGGTGTTATACCTGACGAGCTGACATTGTGGGAATTGGTGCGACGTAAAAACGATTTTAATGGACCTGCAGCATACTTCCTTCGCTTTTTCTCGGCTAAAGTATCTATACTAGTCTCAGAATTTTCTGATACCGTCAAAGTGTCTTTGTTCTTTTGTGACTTGTTGCTGTCCTTCGAGTTGGACGAAGACTTTGTGTTGTCAATTTGTTTTCGTTTGCGTCTAACGCACCTAACTTTGAATTCACTCTCGCGTTTAATCTCAATGCCCATGCTAAGTAAAGTTTGTTTTACCACTATGAACACCTCATAGGGTGGTCGTGACGTTAATGCATTTTGATCGACCGCACCATGGTGTACGCGGAGTTTTAAATCGACGGTGCTTGAGGATGTCATGGTAGACTGTCTCGATGATGTCTGTGATACTGTACTACTACTGGGTTGAGTCACGATCACCGAAGGATTATTCTTTGGCCTCTTTGCTTTACTCTTTGACTGCGGTGCGTTTGTTGTCATCACAGGCTCTTCGACCTTAGCCAACTCAGATGGTACATCCAGCACAGGGACTTCCGGTTTTGCTAGATTTCATGAAAGAATATTTGTCAATTGATTTATCGTTTACACACGATATATTAATTGAAAAACTTGGTTTACCTAAAGATTTTCTCCTAAACCAATCCATCACTCTCTTCGCGGCATTTGAGCTTCCTGCCGAAGTGCCGCTTACTGTCTTTCTCTTATCTTTTACTTGCACATTATTGTTTGATACTACACTGTGCGTAGAGTTAGCCGCCGATCCCTTGAATGTGTCAACCATCAAGCTCAATGCCTTTCTCTTGCCGTTTCGACCCTTCTTTGTATCATCCAAAACATTCTCATCAACATAGCTTGTGTCGGATGCGGTATCTGAAGGTAATTCCGTAACGTGACTTGGCTGTAAACTTTGATGTACTGATAATTTACCGGAGTCTACCCCACCATAATTACCAGTGGTGCTAATGGCATTTCCATTTTCAACGCGGGATTGCTTGATGCCCATTGGATTCTGTATTCTTTCCGAAGAAATACTTTTCTTATGCCTTTTTTGTACTACGGAGGGCGGTGGGGGTATTGGTGATTCATGGTGACTAGGAATTGGTGGCAAGGGAATGGAAGGTGGCGGAGAAGAGAATTGGGGCAGTGATGGAATTTTTTCAGAAGGTCGATGACTTTTGTCTGAAATGGCAGAATTTTTTGATTGATTCTCATTGTGATGAAGAACCAAAGGAATTGAAGGTGGTCCATGAACTGTAACAGGTCGCGTGCGAGGAGCATCCCGTTTCTTGGGAGTCTGAGACGAACTCTTTTGTTGCTGCTCCAGTGTTTTAAGATCTTTGCTATTGGATTTCGATAGGACCAAATTATCGCGTAAATCGTTAGTAGTATTATCAGTATCCCGTTCGTATAAAGTAAGTAGACTTGAACCGGCAGTCGTTGAATTTTTGGCGGTACTACTTTTATCCGAATATCCAGATGCAGTTGACGTGGTGCTATGATGTTTTTCGGTTTTGGGGTGTGCACCGAGTGGATCTATATTTTGAGAGGATAAAGAGGAAGTATTTTCGGTGATATTGCAATCAACATTGCTGTCAGCTTGTAATAATTCATCTCTTTCTTCTGGTAATATCATATCTGATGTAGCCACAGGTACAAAGTTGGAACCGAGACGCGTTCCATCCACAAATTGAAAATCTTCGTCTGGATAATCAACATATTTTGCATTGTTATCAGAATACTCGACTTGAATAGTGTGCCGTTTCACGGTTGTAGTTCCAGGAGCGACGTTTTGTTGATTACCCACATATTCAACATTAAGGAAATTACTAGAAGCTGAAGGGAGATACGCTTCCGGTGGTGCCAATGACGGTACTGGATCTGCGGCCGCCTATTTCATGTAGACAAATGATGTGGAAACGTGAGTACTGACAAAATTTCATTGAGAGATGGCACCTTTATATGTAGAACCGAAAGTATCTTCAGATAATTACCTCCAGTTCCTGGATGGAATAATTGAAAATGGACGCGTACGGCGCCAACCACCTTTCAATGACGAGCACAGACGTTAGACACTTTTCTTATAACGATAAGATATTCTCCAGGACAACATACCTATGTGACATTATGGTTTTCATATCGCATCTTTTTGCTGGATCCGGAACAAGCATCTTTTTTAATAAATCTCGTGCGTCCGGACTCACATATTCCGGGAATACCAATGGAGTATTAATTATGTATTTGTAAAGCAAGTTGATATTGTCACCATCAGGGTTCGAAGGATCATCATCGAATGGAAGATATCCGGACAACATGGCGTACTGGTTAAATAAGTAATAGAAAACAAATTTAACAGAAGCTTCAACATCAAATCATGAATGACTAAAGGATTAATGAAAATTCACCAGGATAACACCACAGCTCCAGATATCCACTGCGCTTCCTACGTAAAGTCCTTCGCTAATCACCAACTCCGGAGCTGCGTAACAAGGACTCCCACAAGATGTCGCCATTAAATCATCATGAGCACCGTTGAACTGATTCGCGAAACCAAAATCGGTGATTATGATATTTCTGTTCCGATTTAACAAGAGGTTTTCCTACAAACAACGAAATTAATATCAATTGGGATTTTGCATTGCATCTACTGGAATTCTGATGAGAATATTTAACATACAAGTTTAAGATCACGGTGTACTATATTTTTTTTATGTAGATAATCGACCCCACTAATAAGTTGCGCGAAGAGCCTGCATGCATCTCGCTCCTTTAGATAACGATGCGCTAGTATGTGATCGAAGAGTTCACCGCCTGAAATATCAAGGAGAAAATCAGTAGAATGACCAAGACGCGAGTCTAATCGAGTTAAATAATTACCAGAAGCATATTCCATAATAATGCCAATATACCGATCTGTCTCAAATACGTCATATAGTTTTACAATATTTGGGTGCATCACTCTCTGTTGATTCAAAATTACGTATTTAGACTATGTCATGCTCTGTGGTCTAATAAAAAAAAAAAAGCAAAGGCGAGGATTTTTTCTTTCATACCCGTAGTACTCCTATTTCTCTTTCAATCTTTGTCAATCGAGATGGTGTGTCCACGGATTCTTTGCGTATCAGCTTAATTGCGACCTTTGAATATTGATAGCCATCATAAATCAATTAGTCATGTGTCTTTTTTTAGCACGGATGTACATATCGAGAGAAGTGTAAACTATCGAGACTAAAATTCCTCTTATGGTTTTTTCCCGTGTCTCGAAAATGGAAGGTACGCGAGTGCTCAAATCGCGGAAGATAACATACCTCTTCACCGGTGTCTACATGGATTCCAAGCTTCACCTTACCGAATTCACCTTCACCCAACGTCTGTAACAAGAGATAAGGACCAAACATGTTACCTCTTCTTGCTGAACTTTGAGGAATTGGTGGAGGGTGAGATATCTCAGCATATCTAGGAACATTCATCGGAACCGGCGTCGAAATCGGTCGACCCCTTTCCGATTGATGTTG